TTCGGCATAGTATAGCCGACCGGCTACACTATTTTTAAATTTTTTAAGAAATAGTATAGCCGTTCGGCTATACGCGTTTTACAAAAAAAAGAGTATAGCTGCCATACTCGTTTTCTATCACCGAAGCATTTTGTTCTCCTCTCTCTTCATCAACACTCTCTACTAAACTCTTTTTTTTTATCAGACCAAAAAAACTTCTTGATCTTTCTCTCATTTTGTTCTCCTCAGCAGCACCTCCTGTAGCGTGAACAATTTTCTCTTAATCAATCGCTGATTCTCATTCTCCTTCTTTTTGTTGTTAGAGTTTGATAATTTGTTAATTAAGTTATGTTAACCCGTTATTATTTCTCATAACACATTTCCATCACAACAACCACCATTACCTGATAGAGAGAGAATGAATGTCTATTCTGAATGAAGCGAGAGAACCAAAGCATCAAGATAGATTTCTCTTTTTCTTCAACACAAACTACAAACCTAACCAGTGAACTTAGAAAAGAGAGGTCCCCTTCCCCTTCTTTTCTCTACCACCTCTTGATTGGCTGTTGGGCAGTAAGGCTATCATTTCCTTTCTTGTATTGGTGACATTGTGTAAGGTGTGCTTGGGAGCGTTCACCATGGTGACGACTACCTTGTCTAGAGATGATTAGCAGAGAACGGTTAGGGAAGTGAGAGAGGAGAGAGAAAGAAAAATATTTTGTGATAGAAATTTACCTTTTTCCAAAAAATAGAGAGAGGAGAGAGAAAAATATTTTAATTTATTTTTCATGTTAAAAGTCATGTCAGATTTAATCTCATTCATTAAAAGTGGAGTAATCTAATGGCTCAAAAATTGTGTCAAAACTTGTGTAAAAAATATGGTGCCATGGATCCGGCCCCTATATATATATATATATATATATATATATATATAGGGGCCGGATCCATGGCACCATATTTTTTACACAAGTTTTGACACAATTTTTGGACCATTAGATTACTCCACTTTTAATGAATGAGATTAAATCTGACATGACTTTTAACATGAAAAATAAATTAAAATATTTTTCTCTCTCCTCTCTCTATTTTTTGGAAAAAGGTAAATTTCTATCACAAAATATTTTTCTTTCTCTCTCCTCTCTCACTTCCCTAACCGTTCTCTGCTAATCATCTCTAGACAAGGTAGTCGTCACCATGGTGAACGCTCCCAAGCACACCTTACACAATGTCACCAATACAAGAAAGGAAATGATAGCCTTACTGCCCAACAGCCAATCAAGAGGTGGTAGAGAAAAGAAGGGGAAGGGGACCTCTCTTTTCTAAGTTCACTGGTTAGGTTTGTAGTTTGTGTTGAAGAAAAAGAGAAATCTATCTTGATGCTTTGGTTCTCTCGCTTCATTCAGAATAGACATTCATTCTCTCTCTATCAGGTAATGGTGGTTGTTGTGATGGAAATGTGTTATGAGAAATAATAACGGGTTAACATAACTTAATTAACAAATTATCAAACTCTAACAACAAAAAGAAGGAGAACGAGAACGAGCGATTGATTAAGAGAAAAATGTTCATGCTACACAAGGGATTTCAAATCTTTTGGGAAAGAATGAGATAAAGATCAAGAAGTTTTTTGGTCTGATAAAAGAAAGAGTTTAGCCGAGAGTGTTGATGAAGAGAAATAGGAGAGAGAAAAAAAAAATTGTGACCGAAATTTACCTCTTCGAGAAAATAGAGAGAGGAGAGAGAAAAACATTTTAATTTATTTTTCATGTTAAAAAGTTATGTCGTATTTAATCTCATCCTTTAAAAGTGGACTAATCTAATGGCTCAAAAATTGTGTCAAAAATATGGTGCCACATATCCACCCCCACATATATATAAACCCAAGTTAAGTGAAAGATGGAAAAAATAATTATCTATTATCATTGTAAGAACTTTAAAAAAAATGAAGTATGGGATAAAATATGAGTTTATTAATATGGCAGTTGTATAACTATATCTTTATATTTATGGGGGAAAAAAAAGAGAAATATGAAGTTATGAACAAAGAAAAAAATGGAGACATAAACATATAGACAAATGTAAATAGAGAACTATGAAAAAAATGGAAACATAGAAAGAAAAAAAAAAGAATTGACAAAAAAATCCATATAAAAAAAGACAAAATAAAGTAGGCCTATTTAAGCCCAGCTTGGCCCGATGGGCTTTTCAAGCCTGGCTCATGAGATGAGCTTGGGCTTTGAATTTTCTATAAAAAAAACCCAGCTTGTTATTTTCTATCTCCTCTTTAAAGCCCGACCCGACCCAGTCCAAGTCCATTAAATTTGGGCTAGGATAGCCCAGCTCGGCCTACCCAAACGTAGTTGCACGCACTGACATCCCCCAAGACGATGAAGCCCTAATCCCCAAATTAAACCCAAATCGTCGATTCCTCTATAGAGTACAGAAAAAATAACAGAAAAAATAAGGGAGTTTCACTAAAACACCAAAAATGAGGGTTGAAATTATAAAAAAACCCAAGCACTATTTAAACATATAAACACACCCAAAACCCATCATTACACACACTCAAAACCCATTTATAAACACACCCAAAAAGTTGACTTTGGGGTTGATTTTGGGTGTGTTTCTATGTTTAAATAGTGCTTGGGTTTTTTTATAAATACATGTCTAGGATTGGGTTTATTTATAAATTTGTAAAAAAATAACTTCTCTGTCCATTGCCAAAAGCCTTTGATTCATGTGGATAGCAAAGGTAAACCATTGCCAAAAGCCTTTGATTCATGTGGATAGCAGAGGTAAATGGAATTGAATCTTGAAAGTTTGAGTTGCATTTTCAACTTCATTTCACACCTGCATTTTCAACTATACTTCTCTCATTTCAAAATGTAAAGGTTTACAATTTCATTACAGATAGGGCATAACTTACATTTCATTACAATGTTAGCATACAAACACCTTTTGCAAAACAATCACTAAGACAGAGCCTAAAATTCTAGTTCTAGCCTAAAATTTTTATTAGGTACATGCTTTTTCGGGCCCCCACCAAACAACACCAACAAAAGCACCACTATTGTCGCCACTTTTCTTTGCAACTCCTCATGCTTTTTCACATTTCTCAGCAACCTAGGAATAACAGTCCTCGACCTTTCACACATTCGGGGATCAATCCACTGAAAGAAGTTGCACCCTTGTTCTCTCTGTATATTACATCAAACTCAGATCCACAACAAAAAAAAAAAAAACAAAAAAAAAACGAAGAGAAATTCAAAAGGACAAAACTTAGGTCTCTTACCCCGTGCTTCACACATCCAAAGAAATGTCTCCCAAGGTTCTGTCCAGGAAGTGAACTCCTGAGCTCGTTTACCACAACAATACTTCAGAGCCTCCATCTTTGAATCAATTGGAAAAAAAATGGAGGTGATGAAATTAGGGATTCGACAATTTTGGGTCTCAGAGACCTTTTATTTTGTTTGAACGGCTCAAGTCAAAAGGTGACCTTTTAAATGCTCCACATCGACATCTCCATCTTATCACTTAATGAGGTTCCTGACAGACTGAGTGACAAATGGTGTTTTATGAAAGGATTCACTAAGTTACTGGCCAAACGGGTCAACAAAGGTTGGGTATGAGTTTGTAATGAACCCTATAGGTTGGGGGGGTTTACTGTAGTTGAGGCTAATTTTTTCTTAACCTACAAAACATAGTTTAATTACCTCCAATAGCCCAATTAACAATGGAAATCCTTGATACGTAAGAACTTTACATTTGTATTGTTTAATATAAACCTACAACAAGTTGTAGTACATACTGCATGGTTTGTGAAATTCTGTGTACCATGGTGCAAACATTGTAAGTATTTGGGGTCATTGTGGGAGGACCTGGGGAAGGTAATGGAAGGCAAAGATGAAATAGGGATTGGGGTAGTTGATTGCTGTACAAGTAAACCAGTATGTTCAAAAGTTGACATTGTTATTCTATGATGAAGAAGAAGTTGCAAAATATCAGGGGCCGAGCCAAGGGAGGGATGTTGAATCACTTAAGAATTGTCTTAGAAAAAGCTGAAGAGGCAGCTACAAGGGCATAGCTTGACTATCAGAATTCTTGCGAAAAAACACTTTGAAGAACACGATCATACCATCATGGTGAATAGTCTCTTTACCATGTGGTTGGCATTTCCTAACTATTATGCTTTTCTTTACTAAAAAAAGAAGAAAAAACTTAAATCTTCACCACTTAAAAAGTTTCTAACACGCATGGGCGGGTTGCAAATCCTGTAACAAACTTTCAACTTGTAATGACAGCATAACTGACATAAAGAGCAATGTCATCATCAATATGAATGAAGACATGAGGGGAAGCAGAAGCAGTAGGTATATATAGAATTATAGATAGTATCTCTTTTCTGCTTCTACCATTGTTTCTTCAATCTAAGTTTTCACTGACCTTCTTAAGGTCGATTCGTATTGTTCTTCTTTCTTACCATAAATGGATATGAGCGGATGAAATTTGTTTTATGAAATTCCACTGCTCATAATCTTTCATTATGTGTTATAAGCAACAAGAAATTTGTTTCCATAACATATGTTGCGATGCACCAAGCAGTCTATGCTTCATTAGATTCATCACACTCTTTGCCAACTAGTGCAGTTACCTGTTCCTCAAATCTAAAAGCAAATTACAGCTTACATTCATACTGTAGCTGGTCCCTTCCTGTTGATGCCTTTTTCATACAAGTATTAATATCATGTGCAGTTTCTTGTTCAAATCCCACTTAAGCCTTTCCCTTTTCTGGTTTTGAAGAATATTCACATATTTGAGCAACAGGAAATCACTGGAGATTTGAAGGTTATAAATTTTGTTGTTAAAGATTATCTCTATCCTAGATGTTGGAAATTTTATATTATTTAATAATATTTAATTTCTATAGTGAATGAAAAATAAGTGTTGTGTCTGAATATTTGTTTTGCACTTGGTTATCCTTTAAAGTGCAGTTGTTAATAATTAAACAGTGGGATTCAAATGATCAAGTGATCTTGTTTCCATAGAGTTGTGTATATAACATTTCAAATGAAAAGCTACTTATGTTTCAACAAGAGGGGTAATGAGTTTTATATAAACCAAACACCCTCACCTACTTGAGATAGAATGAAGAGAGTTCTTACCCGTGAAAAATAAAGAGTATCCCTAATACTCTATTGTTAAATTCTTCCTAGTTTTTTCTTGAGAGTACAAATATATAATTGGTTCGCCAGAGTCTTAAATTGAAGTGCTTCAATTTAGGATTATCGATGGTTGAATTCTCGAAGATGGACGCCTATAGAACTACGAACACAAGGGTAAGGGCAAAATCTGTCTTTAGGACATTGCAATTCTTGTAAGCCTCAATAGCTAGGGTTGTCAGTATTTCTACACATTTGTGTTCGTTGATTTACATTAATTCCATGTAAATTTGTTGTATATTTGATGATTACAATTTTGTTGAGAATTATTATAATTTAAATTCATATTTGTTATTGTCCTGTCAACAATCTAAAGATAGAATTCTTATTGAACAATGAGAAAAATGAATATGTGGAAGACAGAGAATTGATCCAATTGAATTGGGCTAGTTGATGATATGTTGGGTGCTGTATATCAAGTATACAATAGCATAGGGGAGCCATTGTGTTTCATTCGCAAATAAGATCCATGCATGTTATCTTTTAAATCTTTTGTTGAACGCATGGCTTTGATCTTGTTCTTGCGTGAACAGATTTAAGCGTTAATTGGTATGTCTTGCATATGCTGGTTGGCATGACTGTTTTGTCCACCCGTCCAACTTAGGAATGTTTGCTTTTTATCAATCTCGTTCTCTCTAGTAATACTAAATTCTATTACTGCACACATTATTTGTCATAGGGAATTGCATGCTGAGTTGGAGTGTTCTTGATAATTACTTCACTTTCAAACAACACTTTACATGAAGAATACTACCACCTCTTTTACTGCTACACTCATAAATCTTTGTTTGAAACTGTTGTTCTGATTGGAAAAAAGATTACAAAATCACATCCTGCATTTTTGTTACAACAAGTAAGAAATAATCTTAGTCTCTCTCATTCATTCATAGTTAATAAAATACGGAATGGGTTATTCGGCAAAATTTTGCCACATTACAACTTAAAAGTTCAGCCACTATATTATACTTTAATATATATTATTTATATATTTTAATATATATATTATTTTTATTCAATAATATGTGAAAATTATGTGTATAATACCTAAATTTTGTGTGTCTTACTGAAATTTTTGTAAAATATGTGTATTAAACATGAAAAATACGTACGTACTTGTATAATGCGAGTATTGTACGTTTGCTTTTTAAAAAACGTGAACTTTACCGAGTCTTTAAGACGTTTGCAGAACATGGATGTATTATTGAAAAATACATACATATGTGTATAATACATTATTGAATATGAAAGTGCTAAAATTTTCATATGGGTAATAACTTTGGAAAAGTAAAAAATCAAAAGGGGACAACAAAGACTCGAGTAATGGCCTAATAGTAATGGATAATACTCTAAACAATTTTTATCGATAAATGAAAATCGGGGAAAAAATGGATCCCGCTATATATAGAAAGATTCATATTGGGTTTTGTATACCAAAAACACTTATTTCATTGTCTTTATAAATATATTGGATGCATGTACTTGCTATGTACCTATTCACCCAATAATCTTTTTTCTTTTTTGGGATATAATTAATTTATTTTTGTGCCCTATAAATCCAACCATTTAAAATGGGTCGGCAATTGATAAAATTGTAGCACTTTTGGTTCAAAGATGTCTTGGATAAGAGTTGGAGCACAGAGCAGAGCTTTGGTCATCATATTTGGCATTCTCTGCTTGCTTTTACAAAGTGAAGAAGCCCACCATGGAACTGAATACGTAGTGGCAGATAACAAAGGTTGGGACCTGTATCCTGAGGCATCCAATTGGGGGAAAGACAAGCACTTCACGGCTGGAGATGTCTTGGGTAAGATTTATCCTCTTATTATAATCTATTCTTCAAAGAAAATTTTAATTGAACTCATCATGTTCAACTAATTTGATCCTTCAATCAAAATTTAAGGTGATATTCCAGTTTTGGTTATAAGTTATTTTATCACGTAGCCAAATCTTAAGGTGCATTCCAACTTTGAGTAATACTTCTATTAGTTTTGTTTTGAGAGAGTCACTTAGCTGCTTCTACATTAGCACGTTTCGCCTTATATATCTTAAAATGATGCATCTTCATGGTATTGGGATCCTCGTGATATCATTCAAGATGTACTAGTAACTGATTTCTTGTAATGTTTCTTTGGTTTAGAACTGTTATGAAAAAAGTTTGTCCAAAAGAAAAAAGTTTAACCTGAAAAATACACGGTGTAGAATAATTCATATGTTTGGAACTATTTGCATAACATTTGTTTTTTGTTTAAAGTACAGTTTTCAAATATAGCAACCCATTATTTAGCATGGCGGCTGTGGATGCAAAAGGGTACCAAAGTTGTAGTGCAAAAAGCCATCTTAAGAAGTTATACAACTCTGGGGACGATCATGTGGTGTTAAAGAAGGGTCAAAACTACTTTATTTGTAATGTTACAGATTACTGTGGATATGGAATGAGAATTGCTGTTCATGCAGAGTGATTCATCTAGCTATATATATGCTTGTTGTTATAGTAGTTTGTCTTTGCAATAAAGAGTTTCTAGGAAGGAAATGTTGCAATATTAATCTTTTGTATGTTATTTTTCTAAATTTAACCATTTCTTCTTCCTCCTTCCCCTTGCTTCCTCTCTATCTCACACTCCATCCCAGATGATTTATTTATTTTCTTAAAACCAAGTTGACATAATGGAAATTGCATTAAGGGGATTGGCACAGAAGTTGTCGTACAAGATGGACAACTTGTTGTTTTGCCAAGGCCTCCCGTAGACATGTCTTTAATTAGGGGCAGAGCTAGAATTTTAAGTTTACGGACCAAATATAAAGTGCAAGCATTAAGTAGATTGATTTTTACATATTGAAAGAGTCTGATACCACAACTTTCTTCTTTTGAAAAACACATCATCTACAATATCTAAACATTGGGGTTGGTAATTGATAAGATTGTTGTAGCACTTATGGTTCAAAGATGTCTGGGACAAGAGTTGGAACACATAACAGAGCTTTGGTCATTATATTTGGTCTTCTCTGCTTACTTTTACAAAATGAAGAAGCCCATGAAACTGAATATGTAGTTGGAGATGAAAAAGGTTGGGACATGCATACTGAGATATGCAATTGGGGGAAGATTTATTCTTTGATTATAATCTATTCTTCAAAAGAAAATTTTAATTGAACTCATCATGTTTAACTAATTTGATCCTTCAATCAAAATTTGAGGTTATATTCCAATTTTGGTTATAATTTATTTTATCATGTAATCAAATTTTAAGGTACACTGCAACTTTGAGTAATATTTCCCCTTTTTTTTTTGTTTTTTTGTTTTTTTTTTCTCGATAGGCCAACTTAGCCACTCATAGATTAGCTTGTTTCGCCTTATCTTTAAATGATACATCATTATGTTATTGAGTGTTGGCGTGACTTATGAATATTGACTTACTTTCCTTACACACCAAGAATTCCTATTATAATTGTAATTGATTTACTTTAATTGTTGATTTCCTACTGTAAATAGATTTAGGAATTTATTATTTACTTGCCCATTTAAGTTTCGTTGTATTATAAATATGATCTCCTACCAGGAGAAGAATATATAGAAAATTCCCACAAATAAATATTCTCTCATAGTTTTCATATTTTAGCATGGTATTAGAGCAGCGATCTTGGGATTGGTGACTCTAGTTTCTAAACCCTAGCCGCCACCATGGGGGTGGATGACTTTTCTAATCCTCATGGCAGTAGCACCACTGCTTTCTCATCTCCTTCTCAACCAACATAGCTGAGTTGAGTGCCCAGGTGGTTCAACTAATGCAGATGCAGACTCCGACCTCGAACTCGATCCTAAATCAGGATCCTACTAAGATGACCTCGACCTCGACTTAGATGACGACCCCGACCTCGAACTCGAATTAGACGACGACCTTGAACCCAAATCAGACAACGATTTGGACGATGATTACCTATGAAGCTTCCGTTGCACATATTGGCATAAAGTTGGATGACACCAACTATGCTCTATGGTCCCAAGTTATCAAGTTGTATATCTCTGGCAAAGACAAATTGGGATATATTAATGGCGATCTTCCACAACCTCCTTCGATCCCTCCAACGTTTCCTCGCTGGCGCATCGAGAACTTTATTATAAAGGGATGGCTCATCAATTCTCTGGAGCAGAGCTTGATTGGCAATTTCATTCGTTTTTCGATGGCAAAAGCAGCGTGGGATGCAATTACCACAACTTGCTATGATGACACTGACACCTATCAGGTTTATGATATGAAACAACGTGTCTCCCGTATGCGACAAGCTGGCGGCTTCATTAAAACCTATTACAATACTCTCCAAAGCTTATGGAGAGAGATTGATTTCCGTCATCCAAATATGATGGAGTATGAAAGTGATATCAAGCGGTATAATGATATTCTGCAGGAAGATCGAGTTTACATATTTTTGGATGGCCTTGATAATCGTCTTGATAAGGCCCGAAGTGATGTTCTTCACATGACTTCATTCCCTACTGTGGACCAAGCTTATGCTTATGTTCGCCGTGAAGATGTTCGACAAGCAGTGATGATGGGTTCATCTGCACCCACTGGAGCTGGCTTAGCGGCCAAGAGTGCGCCTCTATCAGGTCTCCCTACTCGTGCCAGACAGCCCCATAATTCCTCTACTGCAGCACACCTTCAGATCCAGTCATATGCTACTGCTGCTGGTGCGCTACCTCCTAAAACCATCCCACATTCTTGTCCCACGCCTCCAACTGATGGAAGTGGTTGCACCCACTGTGGCAACCCCAAACATACCCGTGACACCTGTTTTAAGCTGAATGGTTATCCTGATTGATGGGAGAACTCCAATTAGCCTTGTTCCTGCAGGTAGACCCTACTGATAGTCTTGCGCTTCCGGATGTCTCAGGTAACTGCGGTTATGTATTTCATACTTCTGATCTATGAGATACTACTAGTTGGATAATTGATTCTGGCACCACTGATCATATGACCTTTGATCCGAATGATTTTTTGCACACTACTACACCCCACCGCACAAGTATTGCCAATGCGAATAGAGTTACCTATCCTGTGACAGAGGCCGGCATTGTCGCCCTTTCACCTTCTCTGTCCCTTTCTAATACTCTACTTGTTCCATCTTTGTCCAATAAATTAATGTCTGTGAGCCAGGTGTAGGGGACTTTTTCTTCCTGCAGCTATAATGGGCTGGGATACTGTAAAGGGCAGACTGAGGAGACTGTCCCCTTTGTTTGGGTTCGAAAATTAAGCCCCAAAAATACTTCGAAAGGGCAGCAAAGCCTTAGGAAATATTTTGGTTACCTTCATCAACCAAAACAATGGCTGCTTACAGGTGGTTTTGGCATGCTTACAAATAATCTTTTTAGCTCAGCGTGAGTGGCATGTGGCATGGGAGCAAAATCAACATGAGTTCAGCACCTAGAGAGAATTTAGGCTTGCTTTATGAGAAAAGGAAGTGTTAAGGTAAGAAATGAGATGTTTTGTGAGGGATTTGGCTAAGGAAAGAGAAAATGAAGAGCAGAGTTCTTCTGGCAGCTGCCAGAATAACAAAATGGAGAAGAAGATGAACAGTGCACGAGGTTGCTGGGTTTTTGCAAGTTAGAGAGAAGGCTTGCTCTCTGAATATGAGTTGCCTCTGTTAGGTAGGGGAAACCTCAATTTATAGCCGCTGGAAACCACCATTTTTAAGAAACCTTAATGACTTCTACCCATTTTGGCTAAGCTTTTTCCTCCTTTCTCCTCATCTTATTTGACTTCCCTATCTTGGCAAAAATTGCCTCTGTCTATTTGCACGAATTCAGGAAATTTGGGAGCTCAATGCCCCTTTCCCGCAGCTGTTTAGTGGGAACTTCCATTCTTGGCTATTGTTTTTTCTTCTTTCCTTCCCCCTTCTTTGGCCAAATCTGATGAAGGAAAGGAAGTAAAAATATATGCTGGTCCAAAGGGTGCTTCTGACAGCCTGCAGGCTAGTATTCCTTGGTTCTTTGAGTATCTCTGGCTTGGAACTTGCTCCCTGCATGTGATGGAACCTCCCAGTAGCTTTGCTCAATGAATCTGCCAATCTTCCTCACGTGGCTTCTATTTTTTCAAAAGGGCTGAGGCTTTTGTGGGTTATTTTTTGGAGTTTTATATAGGCCAAGGTGATTCCTTAAGCAAATGGGCTTTTTGTTAAACATTGGGTTTTTTGTTTGTATTAGTAGGCTACTTTGCTTGGACTATTGGGTTATTTTCTCTCTTATGCTTACCCACATGTTTGGGCCTAAGAAATGGGCTTGAGTCTCGAGGCTCCCAAGCAACATGAGACTTTCCATTTCTCGGCCCATCAATGGGCCTCATGTTGATTTATTACCATCCATGCCACAACCCACTCAAGCAAGCCCAGGGTATTTGAGTGGCTTGGGCCCACTTAGGCTTGTAGCGTGGTTGGGTGTGAGACAACGATTTCGTGCTTGGCATGGCGTGTCGTTTGGCATGTTTTAATTTATCGTTCCTGAGAAGGGCTGCGATGTTTAATTTTGGCATGGGCTTGTAGACCCGGTATATTTTATCTCAACCCCTAGCGAATTTATTTATTTAGCGTGGCATGTGCATGCGGTTTTGTGTACTCCGCTTTACGCTTGGACTGTCGTTATGGGCTAATAATTTATTTGGGCCCAACCATGAATTTTTTGGGTCTCAACACCAGGCAACTAAACAACTAAATTGTTGTGCACTAATTTATCCCAATTTTTGTTTACTACAGGATATTCTCACCAAGGAGATCATTGAGTGTGGTACTAAAAGAGGTGGGATGTACTATGTGGATGACTTCAGTATGGGACGTGCCAAGTTGCCAACAGTGTGAAGCATCCGTCTGATGACAAGCACCGACAGATTTGGCTCTGGCACCGACGTTTAAGGCATCCATCTTTTGGTTATATGAAACACTTATTGCCCGAGTTGTTTTCTGTATTTAAGGACTTAGACTTTAAATGTGACACTTGCATTTTAGCCAAGAGTCACAGAACATCCTATCATTTAAGTATGAATAAAAGTACTATTCATTTTGCTTTAATTCATTCTGACGTTTGGGGACCCTCACCTATTTCTATTCATTCCGGTATTCGTTGGTTTGTCACATTCGTAGATGATTGTACAGGATGACATGACTTTATTTGATGAAAAATAAGAATGAAGTGTTTTACCTATTCCAATCTTTTCACAAACAGATGGAAACACAGTTCAATGCTCGAATACAGATTCTTCGCTCTGACAACGGTGGAGAATTTGTTAATCATGATTTTCAAACTTACTTCCAGACACATGGCATTATTCATGAGACAACTTGCCCCTAGACACCACAACAAAATGGTGTTGCCGAACAAATCGTCATCTCCTTGAAACAGCCCATGCTCTTCTCGTTGGTGGCCATGTTCCTCGTCATCACTGGGATGATGCTGTCATCACTGCTGTCCACCTTACCAACTGCATGGCTTCCGGGGTCTTGAACTTAAAAACTCCATTACAAGTGCTTGCGCAACATGGGCCTCTGCCCTCTGTTTTGGTGCTTACCCCTAACATTTTTGGTTGTGTGGCCTTCGTTCATCTCCACAAAAAATCAATGAAGCAAACTTGATCCATGTGCGCTTCGTTGTGTTTTTTTAGGTTATGCCATTCATCAGAAAGGCTACCAATGTTATCACCCTCCTACCCGGCGAACCTATGTCACTTTTCTAGAATCGGAGATGTTCTTCTATGACCCAGCATCCAATTCTCCTCTTCAATGGGAGATACGAAGTGAAGAGCTCAATTGGAACAGCTTGGAAAACGAAGATATTCATCTATGCACGAAGATTGCTCTTGACCAAGAAACAATCACAATCGATCATCCCAAGTCTGGCACGTGCGAATGTTCTCTGCCAAACAACGATCGATCGTCTAACCCTTGCGAAGCTGTTTTTGATTCGAGTCATACTCCTACAGACAACTCAAAACAACAAGATGAAGACCCCCTCTCACTCAACAGTACCAACGGACCAATCTCTTGAGAATATCTTTAAGGTAACTACTCCTACTAGACTTGTGCATTTAGAGGATAAAACTATTGGACATCAATTACCTTTCAGGCAAAATCGTGGTAAGCCACTAAACTGTTATTCACCTGATATTAGCAAGACATCCAAGTATCAAATTGCAAATCATGTATCCACTGAGAAGCTGTCTGAACCACTCAAGGCTTTTGTGCATCAAGTGTCTGCTATTCATATTCCAACCAAGGTCTCTGAAGCAATGAAAGATCCTAAGTGGGTCCAAGCTATAAAAGAGGAGATGAAAGCTCTTGAGAAAAATCAGACTTGGACATTGGAGACTATACCAAGAGGAAAAAAGACTATCGGATGTAGATGGGTGTTTACTATAAAACACAATGCAGATGGAACTATCAAGCGATACAAGGCAAGACTTGTGGCAAAATGTACAGACCTATGGTATAGACTATGAAGAAACCTTTGCACAAGTTGCAAAGTTAAACACCGCCAGAGTCTTATTGTCCCTTGCAGCTAATTTGGATTGGTCACTATACCAGTTTGATGTAAAGAATGCTTTTCTACATGGCGAACTCACGGAGAAGGTGTACATGGACATTCCTCATGGATATAATATTACTCAGACTAGAACAGTTTGCAGGTTACGAAAAGTATTGTATGGATTGAAATAGTCACCACCTGCACGGTTTGGACGGTTCACCATGGCAATAAAGAATAATGGTTTCAAACAATGCAACTCAGATCATACTATGTTCTTGAAACATCAGAAAGGGAAGGTAACAACATTAATAATCTATGTTGATGATATGATTATTACTGGGAATAATAAACAGGAAATATCACAGCTACAAGACTATTTGGCTACTGAGTTTGAGATGAAGGATCTAGGTGGACTCAAGTATTTCTTGGGAATTGAGGTGGCTCGATCGCAGCAAGGCATATTTCTCTCTCAAAGGAAATATGTCTTGGACTTGTTGATAGACATAGGAATGCTAGATTGCAAACCTGCGGACACTCCTATTGTTCAAAATCATCATCTTGGAGAATATCCAGATCAAGTTCCAACTAACAAAGAGAGATACCAAAGGATAGTGGGAAGATTGATCTATTTGTCACATACTCGACCAGACATTGCTTATGCAGTGAGCGTTGTAAGTCAATTTATGCACTCTTCAAGTGAAAACCACATGAATGCAGTTCTTCAGATACTTAGATATTTGAAGTCTGCACCTGAAAAATGACTTATGTTCTCAAAGCATGGTCATCTAAATATTGATGGTTATTCATATGCAGATTAGGCAGGTAATATAACAGATAGAAAATCCACATCGGATTGCTTCACATTCGTGAGAGGTAATTTGGTGACATGGAGGAGCAATAAACAGAATGTAGTAGCTTTATCCAGTGCAGAAGTCGAGTTCAGAGGCATGACTAAAGGGATTTGTGAACTTCTTTGGTTAAGAAAGTTGCTTATTGAACTTGGGTATAAACCTACATCCACAATGAATCTCTTTTGTGACAACAACGCTGCTATAGCCATTGCACAGAATCCGGTTCGGCATGATCGTACTAAACATGTTGAGGTGGATCGACACTTCATCAAACAGAAGCTTGAGACTAAAGTGTTTCAGTTTCCTTTTGTGATATCCGAAGATTAATTGGCGGATATTTTGACAAATGCAATTTCCAGTAAAGCATTCCACAATTCACTAGATCAGTTGGGCATTGGCGACATTTATGTACCAACGTGAGATGGAGTGTTGACGTGACTTGTGGATATTGACTTACTTTCCTTACACACCAAGAATTCCTATTATAATTGTAATTAATTTACTTTAATTCTTGATTTCCTACTGTAAAAAGATTTAGGAATTTATTATTTACTTGCCCATTCAAGTTTCGTTGTATTATAAATATGACATTCTACAAGGAGAAGAATACACAAAAAATTCCCACAAACAAATATTCTCTCATAGTTTTCATATTTTAGCATTGAGATCATCTTAATTACCGTCATTCCTG